TAACTGCATTTTCTGTGATACCAGCTGAATCTGTATATATATATATATATATATCAGAACGGCAGCTTAGTGCTGCCAAGAAAGAGACCTCCAGTCAAGTATGATAAGACTTACTGTTTCGAGAGGTCTGTTGTTATCAGTGACCTTGGTTAAACTTGCTTCTGGATAGCAGTTGGCAGTGACTGATCTTCAGCAGTCTGTAAGTCTGATTGAGGTCTCCGGAACACTGTCAGGAAATGGATGTAGGGAAGAAAGCAACAGAAGAATGCCCCATTGGCTGCCTCAAGCCTGGCTGCAGCAATGCTTTGCCAGCATTTTTAGCATTCCTTTGGTACTCCGCAAATAAAATTGTCCAAGTGACACAAACACACAAAACCATATTCACACTTATATTGGAAATTTCTTAGACCTAAAAGCACACACAACAGCTTTAAACATGGTACTTGACTAGAAAACACACTAGTTGGCTTGGCGTCTAGATGATAGCGTCCTTGCACTCACGTCCTGTGCTTTGCTATTCCCCATAGAAGCCCATGCACCTGGAAACAAACCAGGAAGTACATATTTTGTATAACTTGCACACAAAGGTTAGTAGAGGACAAAACCTGCATGAAAAGCTTTATTTGAACTGATACAGTTTGCAGTATCAACATGTGAGTGTAGGAGAGTGAACCAAATTGTTTTACTCGTCTTGTTTTGAAATGGAAAATACAGATTTGCAAGGTGGAATCAAGCTGAGTGCATACTTATAGTTGGTTGCAAAGGAATAACTTTTCGACCAAAATGCAAAAATGTGCGCATTTGAATAGAAGTTAATAGCATGTGCTCTAGAGCGTGCTAGAACAGCTCTGTTTGTGAGCTCTGACGTCAAACAAGGAGGGGCACCCCGTCCCATCCTATCCCCCAGGGCAACAATTAGTCCATCCCATCCCAACATATTCAAAAACTTGCTCGCAATACCATACATGTGGTATTTCAGAACGTGAGATACTTTGCCAGTCAAAAAAACATGATGGTTTAATTAGCATCAGAGTAAGCATATGCTACGTTACCTAACATGGTGATATCTTCTCTTTTGATTATAAAATGAGAATTTTAAAAATTCAGCACAAAGTTAGTGCATTACTGTTAGCATAGCTACAACTGTACTGTTCCTGTCTAGGCTTTTTGTAAAAGTGGAAGAAAAGCCAAGCACGAGAGAGAGAGAGACTGGTTTTTATAGCCTTGCAAATACTATACACATGTTCCCGGGACATTAGAAACAGATACTACCTCGCCTATGGCTTCATATGAAACCGTGGCATGGGGTTGAGCAAGACTTTGTTCTCTCAGTTTTCTCATTTCAAACAGAGGTGCACACACTAGTATCTTCAGATGCGTATTATTGAGTAAGATGTCTACTGGTAGTATAAAGGTGTACAGCTGACAGTTATCTGTACACCAGAGATATAATATAACTAATTTCCCAGGAGTCTCTCTATTACTTTATGTGCAGGGTATATGGCATAACTTGAGTTAGAGAGAACTGCAAATTGAGTTAAGGAAAATGCTTCCATATTTTCTAAAAACAAGCTGTTAGTTTTCCTTCTCCTAGGTCTTTGTTCTGCTGGTTGCTTTCAGAAAACATTAACAGCCATGAATGTGGAGCAAATCTTCTTTTGGAACTTGAGCACTGGGTTAAGCATCGGGTTAAATATAGTTGCTCATTAGATCTGCTCCAAGCTCAAACCCATTTGCTGCTCAGTAGTGAAGACCCTGAGCAGTTGTTTGACCGTTTTATTTGACGTTGCATGCGCTCTGTGTCAGAGTAGTCGCCTCGAAGCCTGTGAAAGAGATTTCACTGTCACTGATTCAGTGCTTTTCATTTTGTTACTCAGTAACTCTTGCACTGTTTTCACCTTTTGTCCGATTTCACAGTGACGGTTGCTCTTACAAAATCCCAAACATAAGGGAACAAAAAGACGTGCAGTAGGGTTTATTAATGTGAATAATGAGCTGTCTTGTCCAAATAGGCATTGATTTATGACCTGTTTTGCTCGCTATTATGTATTTCCATTGTTTATCCAATGATTGACTCATTTAGGCACTGCGTGTTTTCTTTAAGTCAATGATAAATGTAGTTTATCACACTTTTTTCTTCCATTTTTGTATTTCTTTATGAAATAAGATATTTAACTAGGAAAAACATGAATGGATATTCACAGGATCGATAAACAGTGGCGTAACAGCAGAATGGTGTTGAAAAGTATAGTTGTTTCAGAGGTGGAATAAGTTGGTATACCTAGATGAATGATTACAAAGAGCAAGATGAGAAGCAAGCAAGATGGCACAGTCCTACCAGCAAGATGTACAGAGTAAATAAGGACCATGTTGACTTCAAAACAACTGTAACTGAAGCATTTAGACCCTCTGCTTTTTATAGACACAGTCATAAACAAAATACCAACGAAACCAAAAAGCCAAGTAGTGCGTTTTCCACAATGCTTATTGTTCCAAAGCAGCTTTACAGTAAAAAAAAGAACTGGATCAGTGCACAACCATTGATATCTGGCTTTATCTCTGGATTCTTCTTGCAGATTCTCCCGGTCGGACGAGCTGTCACGGCATCGCCGGTCTCACTCTGGAGTTAAGCCCTACCAGTGCCCCGTCTGCGAGAAGAAATTTGCCCGCAGCGATCACCTGTCCAAACACATCAAAGTCCATCGCTTTCCACGAAGCAGCAGGACAGCGCGCACTGCACACTGACCCCACACAACCTCCCGCCAGATAGAAAGAATGAACAAACAGAAGAAAGAGAGAAAGACAGATTCATTTGTGGTACTGTGATAATTTATTACGTGAGGCTCGGATGAACTGAAGAAGAGTTTGTTCTGAAACTGTTACTTGACGCGTCGGCCTCACAGCTGTTGCAAGCTTCGTAGATTGTATTTTTGTGGCGTTCATGATTGTTTTCTATGTTTCGAGAACAATTGTCTTTTTTTTGCAACGTAATGTTCAAAGCATTTTTTTGTTGTGCTTTGAGGTATGAATTGTTGATGTATCTGCCAGTCATCAACATTCCTTGTTCAAAATCACGGTAAAGTCGCTTCTTTTTGTCAACGTAACGTGTTTAGCTCCTCTAAACCAAAAAAACTCGGGTTCATTTGAACTACTGATCATTGGTAGGACTGTGCCATTATAAGCTATTGGCAAACATAGAGGCTTTTCCTCTTGACTTTCAGTTGTATGCTAGCAAACTGTGAAACGCCTCTCGGACAGACCATAGAGCGAATCAACGGAAGTCAAAACAAGCACATTTGACTTATGTGAATGGGCCTTCTGATCAGTATTGAATTTTTTCTTGATGTTTTAGCTGATAATACAAAACCTTTATTCATTCATTTTTTTGTCATTGGTTGCTTTCATCATAAAAAATGAAAACAAGATACCTTCTGGGCCTTTCTCTAATCTAAATGTTTGCAGCTGGGGCCAAGGCATCTGTGGTTAAGTGTTTGCGGTTAGAAGATATTTTCGACAGCAATGCAACACATTTCATATCTGAGAAATCCGACAATACAAGTCAGTAAGCTGATAGCTAAGCTAGGTCAATACAGACGATCAAACCTGTTCTAACCTGCCTCAAACAGTCCTTTTGACCTGGGACTATCTGCCAAAATGTCTCTGCGAGACGAGCTTGAATGACAGAAACTGGAATTGCAAGGTGCTAACTGGTCTCAACTGCGAGCTCCTGTACAGGGGACGCTTGCAGGTCAAATCCTCCTGCTTGGGAAATGTAGTCTGGGACGCATCTGGAGTTCAAAGAGGACATTCTTCATGGGAACTGTAGTCATGAACACAGCTTGACTACTGATAGGGCATGCTGACTATGTGTTCGCTAAAGAATGCGTGTAATATCCAGTGGGGTACTGATAGTTAATGCTAATATTTAACAAAATTATACCGGGTTGTATAATTGGATTGGATTTTGAGGAGAGCTTTGGAACAAGCTTGACAATGCAATCTGTTCTATACAGTCAGTTTTTGCCTAAACAAAAGCCCAAATGGAAACAACTACAACGTTACCCAGAGTGCCTCAGGTGATGAATCAACTCATTGCTCTTTGTACTGCCCCAACAGGCACAACAGCCGCCCGGCACCTATAGATGCATTCACATATATAAACACACATTTAGTGTGATGACAGGAACTCATCTCTTCTGGTTCTCTACTTGCTCTATGAGTTGACTGTGGTTTGGAGGAACGCGTAGAAATGATTATGGTATCGTTTTGCTGCTCTGCTTATAATATTTAGCAACTGTTGTGGTCAGGAAATCCGATCTCAGATCAGATATTGCAGAATGAGAAGAAACCAGAACCACTCAGACCTCTCGCAGACCAGATGAGTCCTGTAGGAATGAAGGAAACACATCTGTATGCATACAGTATATGGATGTTTTGCAGCTGTTTGTGCCTGCTTAACATACAAACCAGTGCCATGGAGGATCTCTCCAGACATGTTTTTGTTGCTCTCTGAAAGAGGTAGCCATGCGTGATTGGTTCTTTTAAAGCCCCACTCATTTAAAAGTTATTAAAAATACATCACAAGTAACACAGACACCCAGGCGGAGGTTGCGTACTGTTAGCGTTGCATTCCTTGCCGTCTACATGAAATTCTTGGTGAAACTGGTGCATATGGCCAACGTTGAATGTATGTATACTGTATGTACAGACTTTGTACAAAATGTCGTTGGATCAGATATTACCAGAGTACCGGATATTCTTCTACTGACGTGGCTCACGTCTTTGATTGTATAAATGTCCCCTGTAAAATGTAAACCAATGTACATAATAACAATTCAATATATATATATATATATATAAATATTATATATTTTTCTTGATATACATCAGATGCATTTACAAATAAATTGAAAATAAGAACTTGTTTTTGTGTTGTCTTGTTTGTATTTTTTTTACAGGTGCTAAAATGTTTTATGCAATAGCTTCGGATGTGAATGCAAAAGCTTCTAGCTACATTGATTTTATGCGAATGCAAAAACGTAGTTATGCACTGTATTAATGCAAGGTTTTCTATTTCCAGTTTGAACTGCACCAGTGAGTCTTGTAGAGTAATTGAATTAAATAGTTGCGCTTGCAGTGTGTCGCTCATGTATTCGTATTGTCTTGGAATGACTGATGGTCTCATACCAGTGATGTCTAATTATAGTCGTACCAATTTAAAATACTATGTAAGGGGTATTGTGCCTTATAATTCCAAATCCTACACTGAAACCACTCACTTCCTAAAGAAAGAAAGCAAACATATCCATATATATCCAGGCATGTAGAAAATATAATAGATTTATTATTTTGGATATATTTTTTTCAATAAATATTTTATATATAATAGTTCTCAAATATATTAAGTTAAATACTAATAAATATATTATGTTTTCAAAACACTTAATTATAATGGTTTATAACTGAATTATAATGTAATAGTGTTTATTGACTCTATGTAGGCCAGGCTTGAACCTGTGTCTGCAACATAAGCAGATCAGAACATGCACTAACCTATAAACCGCAGCTCCAACAGGAACAACAACCAATAGTACAGGAGTCCAGTCTAAAACTCTCGTGCTTATGCTTGTTTATGCTGAGTCACCCTGGATAAGACATATTGAGCATGATGCTTGTGAAGGGCCCTGACGTTTATGGCTGACGACTACAATTTATGTTGCTCCCTTCACAAGCCCCCGAGCACATGTGGCACTCCTAAAGATGAGAGGAGGGAGTCAAGAAGAGAAGAATGCAGTGAAGTGATATACTTTTTATGGCCATCTGTTAGATCCTCAGTCTACTGCCAAGATCTCCAGACGTTAGCTAACATGATCTTGGACCTGCTTGACCATAAACGGCAGTCCTGTCTGGATGGCTCCAGATTTGCTTCTTGAAAACTCAACATTTTTTCTTCATTCTACATTTTTTCTTCAAGTAGAAACTTGCTGCATATCATACAGCTCAGATGGGCTATGAGGAAACATTCGGGGTCTTTGAGGAGGGTTGTTTACTATGAACTGCCATATTCAGATTCATAGTAAGGGATTGACTTTCAGTGTATCATTTGCAGTAATTAACGCAGTTTTGTTTCTTTCATGTAAGCCTATTCTATTTTTAACAGCAGCAGTTTGATTTATTATACTATCCTGGCAACTTATTAAATGAATGTGTTTTATGAATTCATTTCAGTTTAAAGCTATCAATCAGTCTTCCCATGGTGGCTTCAACACTTGCTGTTGTTTAGGGAACTATATTTCCTCAGCTCTCCGGCTCTCGCTGTGCTTGTGGAAACGCAATGGTCTTCCAGTCGTTTGACAGATTTATTTTTGGAGCATTTGCTGTTGTTGGAAAGAGTAGATCCATCTGTCATGCCACCAAGGTAACTTTAGGTCAAGCGAATGACGGGTCACAGGAAGTGATGCGGTGACTTATTCTGTTAACAATTAAATGCAGCTGTTTACAAATGAGGCATTCGGTGAAACCTGGATAAGGCTGCATTTTCCATTTGGTCAATTTCTGTACGATTTTAAATGTTCTGTTCGATAGTAAACGTCTTTTAAAGGGTTAGTTCACCCAAAAATGAAAATTCTGTCATTAATTACTCACCCTTGTGTTGTTCGAAACCCGTAAGGCCGTCGTTCATCTTCGGAACACAATTTAAGATATTTTTGATGAAATCTGAGGGCTCTCTGACCCTCCCAGACAGCAAGGTAACTACCACGTTCAAGGTCCAGAAAAGTACCAAGATGATCGACAAAGTAGTCCGTGTGACATCAGTGGTTCAACTGTAAAGTTACGAAGCTACGAGAATACTTTTTTGCGCAAAGAAAACTAAAATATCGACTTTATTCCACATTTTCCAAGGTTGACGTCATCACGCCGGATCTGGGTCTGTGCTGCCACACGCTCGCGTCATAGTACTGTCCTGAATGCGTGTCCAAAGTGATGCAGTAGAGACGAAAATGTGGAATAAAGTCGTTATTTTTGTATTCTTTGCACAAAAAAATATTCTCGTAGCTTCGTAACTTTCCAGTTGAACCACTGATGTCACACAGACTGCTTTGTCGATCATCTTGGTACTTTTCTGGACCTTGAACGTGGTAGTTACCTTGCTGTCTATGGGAGGGTCAGAGAGCCCTCAGATTTCATCAAAAATATCTTAAATTGTGTTCCGAAGATGAACGAAGATCTTACGGGTTTGGAACAACACGAGGGTGAGTAATTAATGACAGAATTTTCATTTTTGGGTGAACTAACCCTTTAAGTGTTAATGAATTGCACTTTGCAAAATGAAAATGTTGGGACAAGGTGGAGCATTTCAAATCAAATTGCCAGTTCTTTCTGGTATCACGGTTATGGCATCCTGTCATTTTCATTAGATGAATATGAAAAGCTAACAAACTTTGAACTTTTAAATATTGAACTCTCAGCTCAAATGACGTCACTTCCTTTTTATTGCCATTTTTCGAGGTAAAAAAATGGTTTGATGGTGAAACCGAAATTCACGAACAAAGATCAATTAAAATTTTTTATTTGAAATGTATGTAAAAATTTATATACTCCTTTAAAATATTTAAAAAGTACTCCATCCCACTAATATTATAACTAATATTTTTAAATATAAGTTTATTATAACTTTTAATAAATATATCAAATATTATTATTTCTGTAATATATACATAAATCTGTAATATAATATTTCAGTAACATAATTTCTATAATATAATATTCAGCAACAACATTTGACTGACTGTACATGTAAAAATGTTTTAAAATAAAATATTTATTATTTATTAATTAACAGTAATAATATTAACTAATTTTTTTAAAGAAAAGTTATAATAATTTTTAAATTATTTTATCAAATAGTAATATTTTTATAATAATAATTATATTTTTAATTGATTTTTTTTTAATTTATTAAAAATACTCCATCGTATGAACTTATGTTTTTAAATAGAATTTTTAAATAGAACTTATTAATTATTATTAGAACTAATTAATTAATTATTTAAATTAATATTTAAATAATATTAAATATTAAAATGCTTTTTTTAACCATTCTCCTTGAATGGAATGTCTCCACTGACAATGAGAAACCAGTGCATGTTTAATTCCCATTAGAAACTGACAGCTTTAGTTTGAAAAACCACTTACTGGCATACATGTGTGAGATGATTTATGAATATTCCTGCACATATTGCCTTGCTTTTATTCCCTCTGCACAGGATTTCATAATAGCTCACAGCTTTGTGGTGAACATTTGTAGGATTCTCAATCGAACTTCTGACCGCAACATTACCATCAGATTCATCCCAGATAATAAAACCCAGATTTGAACATTGTTACTGCGGTCAGTTTTCTGAAGGCTCTCAGTTATTCCGCTTTCATGTAGTCATATCCAAACTTCATGTGAGCGGGATTCATTTTATCTTGCAGGAGGGCTCAGGATTTTAGATCCTAGTCTAAGGAATATAAATGTATATAAACTTGATCTCTTCATCAAGGTCTCAGTCTAGAAACATCTTGAAGAAATGGAGGAGATGTTGGCAGCTCATCTCTCCTCTGTTTCCAACCTGAGACACATTCTTTTCTTCCGGAAATAAAACTGTCCATGCTAATTTACTGTTAGTCTGAAGGGATGATGGGAGCATCTCTTACACAGTATAAAACACACTAAGTTTAAGGAACAAAACCATTAAGCTTCAAAAATGTAGTCAGGCCTCAAACCTTGGCAGCCATTCCTTTCCCTGGCGAGTACAAGTCTGATAACAAAAGTGCATTTGTTAACTGTGTAGCCTTTTTTTTCACAGTTCAAAAGAAAGACAATTGATTGCTGAAGGGAAAGGACAGCAACACAATAGAAGATGTCAAACAGCATGGGAAAACCCTGTCTAATGTCTTACATCAGTGCTATATACACTACTCTTCAAACATCTGAGGTCAGTATGATTTTTTTTTTAAAGAAATAAATACTTTTAGTCAAAAAGGGTGCATTAGGTTTATCAAAAGTGAAAGTAGGCCGAAAGTCTTTTACATGCACAAAAGATTTCTAATTTAAATAAACAAAGTTCTTTTGAACTTTCTATTTATCAAAATATCCTTGACAAAAATGTATCGCGGTTTCCAGAAAAATATTAAACAGCACAACTCATGTGACACTGAAAACTGGAGTGATATCTGCTGAAAAGTCATCTTTGCAATCACAGAAATAAATTATATTTTAATATATATATTAAAATAGAAATCAAATGAATCAAATAAATGCAGCCTTGGTGAGCATTAGAGACTGCTTTAAAAAAACCTAAAACTTAGTATTTGGATGAACTGGATATAATGCTGTATTATATTTACTGCACAGAATAAATATTTGTGACCCTGGAGCACAAAACCAGTCGTAAGTCGCTGTGGTATATTTGTAGCAATAGCCAAAAATACATTGTATGGGTCAAAAATTATTGATTTTTCTTTTATGCCAAAAATCACACACACACAAAAAAAGAAAGGCAGGGCAATCAACAAATCATGTAAGAAAAGGGCAAAAAGCAAAATCACATAAAAGTGAGAGCAGCAATAAATTACAAGCACAAATACATTTCACTAAATACCTGACTGCAAAATGTTCAAAATTACACCAAAGAAAATACCAAAATGCAAAAAATACATCCAAAACAAAAAATGAAAGCATAATATAACGTGGTAAATCTTACCATCTAAATCACTATAATAAATAATTAAAGGGGCGAATGTCAAAATCTTCATTGAGACCATTAGGAGATAAAGTATTCAAAGTATAAATCCAGATTAAAAGTTTGCGTTTTATACGTAAAATTACATTGTTGACAGCT